AGTCAAGATTCTTATCAGTGCGGTTTCAGGACTTGATCTAGGGACTCTCTGATATGGTTTGTAATATTGACTTCTGAAGTATAAAAGCTGGCTTTACTTAGGCTATCACAGAACAGAAGAGTAGCTTATGGAGAAAATGTATGTGTTTAATAGGATAGAGTGCTAATCCTGCATGTGTATTTCTAGGCAAAGAAAATGAAGCTTGTATATCACCCAGATGAGCATTTGTGAAATCTTTGTAGCATACAAGAACTAAATGCTAGAGTTACTATGCATTTTCCAGAGAAAACTATGCAGGAATCAAGACTGAAAGTTTTTTAAAACATTTATATTTTGATATTCTTTATTGTTTTGTCTTAAGATCATAGGATCCTAGAATATTTCAGGTTTCAAGGGACCTCAGAACATCATAGTCCAACATCCTGCTCAAAACAGAGTCAGTTATTAGTCAAACCAGGTTACTCAAGACTTTCTCCAATCTGGTCTTGAGAACATCTAAGGATGACTTTCATGACTCTATGAGCAAAGTCAAGCTTTACTTCACTGTGAATCCAGCAGAACAGCAGCCAGAGGGCAGAAATTGTATCTTATATGCTATTGCAACTCTTCCATTGCCTTTTCCCAAATGATCACATGAGTCAAAGCCCTTATTACAATACTGACGGCACGAAGCAAATGCTTTGACCTGTGGTTTTAAACAGTTGTTTCTATTTCCAGTGACTCATGAAAGAAGAGGCCTTAATTCATGCTTAATCCAAGACTGGATATTTTTCCAACTGTGTGTTGTAATGAGAGAAGGAAGAGGGAGACATTTGTTTGTCTGGGCTGTTTTTAATGACTGTTGTTAGGAGTTGCACAGGTGATTGGCATGCTGGAAGGAACCAGCTGAGATGAATGAGTGAGTAAAGGGCAAAGAAGGTGGCCAAAAGTATGAGATAAATAGTATAACATATGAGTCATTAGTGTCCAAACACTTAGTGTATACACACTCCCTATCATATACTGCAGTGAGCACGGAACACGAACAAGGCTTTGGGTAACACCTTGATCCGTCGATCCCAAAGAGCATAGTTGTCTCATGCATGCAAAGGAATTATGGATGCGGCTTAAGAGATATGTGCAAGGCTGTGAATCTGTTGCCAAAACCAGGAATGGAGCTACTTCTGACTCCCCACCCAGAGTTCTCCTTTCTCCCAGCATTCCCACCCACAAAAGACTTCAAGTTTAATCTTCCAGTGCTGCCCCTGTCCCTTTGTCTGCTCTCCTCTCATTGACTGGAGCTTCATCTTCTTCCAGAGTGAAATAGCCCCAGGATCTCAGCTATCTGAGAGTTTGAAAGCAGCTCCTTCCATTGCCTCCTCACTTCTCAGTGTCTGAAGAATGCTAATTGTAAACAGCAGTGTAATTGCTGATACATGTTAATAATGTCTGACTTTCCTGGCCCTGAAAACCAGGTTGTCGGCATCTTTCTTACCATCTTTCTCTACTCAGCAGCTACTGGACACAGATACAAATGAGTCTGTTGCTACCTTGCAGCTATGCAAAAAGAGTGAACAAATGGCATCTGAATCACATTTGATTATTGCTGTTTGTCCAGGATGCTGAGCAAAAGCATTCTTCAGAGGGATGGGGATATTTTGTACTAGATGTCTGCATGTGCAAAAGGACTGATGTACATGTGTTGCTAAATCCAGAAAAAGCTGTGAGCCGCAAAACTTGTATTCTGGGAAAAATGCCAATATGTCCATTCCCAAGATCCAAGTTGTGCAGTGAGCTAAGAAGAGGTACAGAGGAAAGAGAAGGTGGTAGGGGAAGAAATTTCTTCTGCACTGAAAAAATCTGGGTAGAAGAGCTGTTTGGGTGAGCTAAGTTTTCAGCCTTTAAGACACCATATGCCTTTCTCTTCAAGCATGAGTATTCCATTTTGATTGCAGCAGCAGTCAAAATCTCTCCTCTCCTATTTCTCTCTCTTGCCCACCTTCTATGCAAACAAGGAAGCAACTTACACAATTTGAAGCAATTTCTTTTTACTTTTTCTTTAACAGAAGCAAGTCAACTGCACCAAAGAATCACTGAGAGTGTATACCATGCACCAATGGATTCCTCCAATGCAAGCAGGTAACCACAGCGATCATGGCATATCAGGGCCACGTTTTGTCTTGCCTTTGTGCTTTTGCAGTACCTAAATTCTTCGTTTTCTGTGTTTAGCTTCCTGGGTACGAACTTTGATTGTCTTCAAATTCTTTAAAGACATGTAAATGCAGATAAAGGTTTTGTTCATGGGGAAACTAAAAATCACAATGCAGAATTCATTTCAAAGATGCTAATTCGGTTTTGCAAAAGAACCATATGCTCCGGATTAACTCAAGTTTAGACAAAATGTATTGGAACGTTTCTAGGACGTTAAATGGAGCTGTCAGCAAATTTTTGTAATGACCCAATTGCTGGGCAAGTTTAATGCAAGTTGGCATGGCATATCACTATAAAATTTTAGCAGGATCAATGAAACCAAGAGATCCCAGGTAACACAGCCAGCCTTTGAGAGTTGTACAACTCAATGCAAGAAATTTTAAACAGATGCAGTGCTGTTAATCCTGCACCATATTTTCTCTAGGCTTGGTTACGTTTGCTTTGTTTAAGGTTTAAGCTGAAAAGGTTTAAGGGTGAAAATCTTTCAGCAAAACCACCTTGGGGATAGGAGAAAATTATTCTAGTGAAATATGAAATGCAATCACAAAAATGTTTCAAATCAATCCAGATGTATGTCCCTCTTATAAAGCTCTTAAAGTGAGAATTTTCAGAGCAGAAATTATAGACAAAATATGTCAACAGAAAATTAATTAACTCCAGGAAGAAAGGCCATGTGATTAGCTATTTGTCCTGGAGTGGATTAAACCAGAGGAAAAATTAAGTGCTGCTTGTCCTCACTCTGCCAACTATGCCAGAGAAGGAGAGGTTACATACTTCTGCTCCAAATGCTGCGTTATTATAGGGTGAGGAAGAATATGGTAAGTCTTCATGAAAGAACAAAGCCCTGGGCTTTCATGAATGGAACAAAGAGTACAGAGTGTCCTATTGGCTACTATAAACTGCGGCCACCTTGATCCTCTGTAATATGTGTCTCAGAGAGAAGCAAGGACAGGGAAATTGCAGCACGAGGTGTCTTTGCACTGGCTGATGTGAAATAGCGGATCCAGAATTCTCAGACTGTGGAACCTCTTCCGCAGCCTGTTTTGGGATGCTGGGTGGAGGCAAGGAGAGGAAGGAAGAAGCTGGACTTTGTGATAGCCACCCACATGGGTGTAGTCTGTCTTTATGACTGACATGACTAAGCAGCCCCAGTTGTGAAAGGCGCTATAAGTAAGCCAGTGATAGATAGTATTAGTTAAGAAGCAACCAACATCATCAGTGCTCTGCCAGTGGTTGGAGGCTAATTAATTACTGAGGTTTTATCTAACCAACAGACATCCTCTCCTGGGTTGCCCATGTGTAACAGTGACTCTACTGTTTATTGGGAGTTGTCAAACCTGTACTGTGACATTGGGGAAATCTCTTTGCAGGACACTCTCCTGTCCCTGAGCCATATCCGTTCAATGACAAAGTCTATCTCCTTTACTTGTTTATATGCCGTCGCAGCGCTTGGGGCTGCAATTCCATGAGATAAGGCAGGGCTGGGCTGACTCAGGACTGGAGCTGAGGTGTCTGCAGAAGAGACACTTAGAGCCGGTGCCCTTAATGCAGGCAGTTACTGAATGTCCCTAGGTCCTGTTCAATCTATTTAAATTCTCTCTCTGTAAATTCTTCCCCAAAGTTTCAGTGTTTAATCCTAAAATGAGATGCCTTGTGGTATCTGTTGCTGCTGTATCTCTCTCAAGGGATGGCTGCTGCATTTCAGTGATAATGAACTGATCCCTTTGTATTGTTTTCTAATCTCTTTAAAAATATGAAACTTAAATAGACTATTGTTCTAACTGCTTAACTATCTGCTTTCTTGGAAATGACTGATTCAGTCATACATCCATGTAAAAATATCCTGTGCACATAGATACACACAAACACTTGGAGTTTTACTGCAGATGCTGTTTCAGAGAAGCTTGTGTGTTTTCTTGGTGTCTTTCTCACAGCTGTAAATCTTTAACTCTGTCAGCTGCATGTTTCACAGTTATCTCAGCCTAGCTGGGAAGGAACAGAGAAAAAAGAATAAGGAAATGTGAGTGTGCTTTGGATTTGTTCCCATATTTATTTTGAGCCCCATTTTGGACCTGACATCAGGCTGTAAAATCACATTTTGATTTAGTACAGGAGGTAACAGAGACCTCTGTTAAGGTTCTATCAGAAACAGGTCAGAGGTTCAAATACGAAGCAATGAGTCCCAGGCTGCCTTGTAGTTATAAAAGGTATTCACAGATCTCTAGTATTCCGAATGTTTTTAAGTTTTTAATGATACAGCAAGACAAACCCTATGAATGTTAAGTATAACAGTTCAGATGTTAATTGTAAACAGCAATGTAATTGCTGATACATGTTAATAATGAGCATTTTGGGAAAGACTATTTCAGGTTAGTATTTCAGGTGTGTAGATGAAATGTGTGGAACATTTAGTCTGCCAAGGATAACAGTCAAACACTCAAATTAAACCATCAGACATTTGCAAAACAACGAGGATAAGAAAATCTTGCAGCTCGAATGCCCTACAAACCTGGGGCAGGGGCGTCATTCCCATTACAGACCAGTAAGGGCTGGTACCTGTGCAAATCTGGCAAGATGGATTCCCTCGTCTGTGGTTCAGCTGTAGATAGGGATATCCCACTTGGATGAATGTTTTCAAAGAGCAGAAGAAACAGAAGTTGGGAGATCCTGGAGCCAGTGGAATGTTCCTCTAAGCATGGTATGACCTCTACGTGACCATCCAGTACCCATTTCTCTCCTGGAGTTGAATATACTTATGCTGCAAAGGATGGAAAATTGGGGTCCTCTTTTCTAACCTGGTTTCCTACCCCTTCCTTCCAAATCTGTTGCACTTGCAAGAAGAGCTTGTGCAGACTTAACCAGTTTGTTCTTCCATTTTTCCCTTCTCAGCTCTCACTAAGGACATCCCTTACTGTGTGGTGTGGAAAGGAGGCGGGGGCTAGAATGGCTTTTTCCACCATACCTGCCTACACAGATGCAGAATTTATAGCGCACACAATTTTAAAACCTGTCCTTAGGCTTCCATATCTGAGGGTAAGAAAGAATGCTTAGTGCT